GCCGTTGATGCTTCGCTGCTGCCGAGTGGAGACCCAATAACCCTAACAAAGAAATCGCGATTCGGGAGTGGAGAAGGAGCGACAGAACTCTAACAAAGAAATCGGGTTTAAGTGGGAAGCGGGTTTATACCCAATAACTCACTGAATAAAAGTGGGTTTCTTCCCTATTATTCATGTGTGTGCCTTGTCAAAGGCAGCAAGCGCTACGGGGCGTGTAGCGCCCCGCACCTGCTGCGGGGCGCTATGCCGCTGCGCCGAAGCGCCCGAGGCGCGGTCCTAGATGCGCCCTTAAAAACAATATATACTAAGTTGTTGTCCATATATGAAAGAACTTCATTTTCCAAATTGATTCAGAATTTTTTTTGTCAAAAGAAGGCATATGATATTTCAATTTATATGTGTGCCTATTGCCTAAGGAGAACAATGGTTTACAAAGCTTAACTGTCGAGCATGGATGGAAATATCAAAAATGTCTGGGTAAGATGTGTTGGGCTTGCTATTTTTTCTCTAGAAGTATCCTGCATATTGTAGGTGTTGGTATCTACCAGTGAGACCAACAAGTTGTATCACAAAAGATTTGGTAATCGGATGCATCACTAGCAGAGGTAAAAGAATGTTTTATGACAAACCCTGAGCGATCCCTACTCAGAAATCGTAATTGAACTCTTCCAGTTAACCTTAACACCATTCAAATCTCCATTTTCAGTTCATCGAATCAAAAAAAAAATCTCAATGGCGACTATGCTATTTTTTTAATGAATCTATGAAAAAGTGAAACCAGAATTAGTAATTGAAATCAGCCAACAGCGATAAATGAGTTAGTTTGCACCTTGAATATGTTAGTAGCTAAATATATTTGATAGTTCATCTTTTATATAATTTTATTCTAGCACATCGCCCCAGAGACTCTTGGCTACATTCCCACAGGGTAGGCGTGTACCCAAATCCCAATGGCATTAAGGATATCTAGAACTTCAGATCCTAGCGGTAGCTCAAAAACAATCTACTTGATGTTGGGTTATTTTAAAGTTAAAAAAGAACTGAGGGACTTATAACCAAAAAACCCTGTAACTACATAAGCTCAGAAAATAAACAAGTCACGTTACAAATTCAACCCAACTGATTTCAATGCGCCAAAGTAGGAGTTCATGTCCAAGTAAAATTTTAATGGTTACTTCTAAACAGACATTGTTATCAAAATCATAAGTTGAGATTGTTTATCCTAGTCTTATAGAAAGTCTAAGATTCAGTTTAATTCAAGAAATGCTTTTTATCCAAAATAAAAGGCAGAAAACTTTACAAAAAGAGTCACCTTGTTGATATCGAGATTGGGAGGCCAATAGTGAAGAAACTTGAAGAAGTAATTGAACATTTCCTCTCCTGATCCAAACTCCTTGGGTCCCAATTTCACACTCTTAGGCTTCTCCTCTTCTCCTTCAACCTCTTCCTCTTTCTCCTTCATCTCCACCTCCGTCTCCTTGGTCGATTCCTCATCCACCTTCTGCTTCTTCGCTAATTCGTCCTTGATCTCTTCCTCGTCTCCTCTCTCCCTCTTCGCTGATTCGTCCTTGATCTCTTCCTCATCTCCTCTCTCCCTCTTCGCTGATTCGTCCTTGATCTCTTCCTCATCTCCTCTCTCCCTATTCGAACCTCCATTGGTTTCCTTCTCGCTCGCTAGGGTTTCGGGAATCGAGGGGGCTTCGTCGGATTCGATTTTTTGGGGGATTGAGGGGGTTTCTTCGGCGATGGATTGGGGAGCGTCCGCCATGATCGAGGTTGGGAGAAGGATTGGGAAACGAAAAGGGGAGATCAGTTGAGGTCCTAAAACCCTAGCTTTTCCTTTGGCGGGCGTGCGTTTGCTAGGGTTTTGCCGAATTTGAGGGGTAGACTTATATCGTCCCTTGGGCACGTGAGAAACACGCACCACGACATACGTCCCATAACTTTCAAAAGGTTACTTAGATATTAGACCCTCATATCTTCCAAAATTCCCTTCGTACCTAGTATCTTTAAAATTACTCGTTAGTCCCTCAAATCTAAAAGTTCTGCAGTTTGTTCCCTCAATGACCAAACTACACCCAGCTAATGTTTTTTTGAAGGGCTGTTTCCAATTTGGCACTCAGCCGTTACACCTTTTTTAAAACTTTTAAACATAAGTTGTTTTGATCCTTTGTACCTCACACTTGCACATGTTTAACTTTGAGGTTCAAGGTTTCTTTGACGAACAAATTTTCACTGTAGACCCAAACCAAGTTTTAATTACCAAAATCGGTCCATTTTTTTAATTACCAAAATCGACTCATTTTATGCCACGTAAGTTTAATCTCATTTCCTAATTAGTCGGGGTTGCCAACCCTGACTGTTTAGGAGTTGTTAAACACCAATTAGAAGCCTTAAACCTAATTTTTATTGCCCTAAATAGTCGGGGTTGCCAACCCCGACTAATTAAGAAATGTGATTAAGCTTACGTGACATAAAATTGGTCGATTTTGGTAATTAAAAAAAATGGGTCGGTTTTGGTAATTAAAACTTGGTTTGGGTCTACAGTGAAAATTTGTTCTTTCTTTGACACTTTGATACCTCAAAATTTACACAGTTTTTAACTTTGCCCTGAGTTTAGGGCGTCAGTGTGTTAGAAACAAAACTTTGGGGGATCAGGTTAAAAAAGGTATAAACATTGTAATAACAAAGTGTCAGAAAAAAAAACTTTAACAGTATCAAAGTTAAAAAGATGTTGGGTGGCAAAGTATTAAAAAAACTTGTGTATACTAAAGTTAAAAAAGGTGAAAACTTTCGGTTACTGTAGTGTTCATAATTCTTTTTTGAACAAGATAGATTCTAAGTGGGAAATTATAATCGAGGGGTGTTTTTATTGAGGGACCAAATTGTAAGAACCTTAGGATATGAGAGACTACGGAACAATTAGTGAGATTGCGGGGACTAATATGGAATTATTGAATATTTGAGGGATTAATATCCCAACAATCCCTTTCAACATATCAACATATCAGAAAACCTCCCAAGGGTTATCTAAAACTCTTTAGAAAATCCTCTTTTAAGTTAAGGGTTATCAGAAAAATACTCTTTTTAACACTAAAAGATTTTTCACATAAGTGATAAAATTATACAAGGAGATGGTTTCCAGTGCGAATTACATTTCGCACTTTTATGAGATTTTTTAATAAAATTTTAAAGTTAGAAAGGAGTTTTTGTTGGGAAAATAAGCTGTTTAGACAATAACGAAAATCAGTTTAAGCAATTTAATAATTAACAGATAATCACAATAGATATAAAATTAAACTGAGTTTAGAATATAGCCTGATGGTCGAGGCGTGCAAGCATTGTCCCAAGAAACTAATTGCCCCCTCTCGTACAGGGCTACGCGGCAAAAGTCCCCGGAGATACAACGACCCTCGGTCAGGCGACCTCCTTCTCGTCGGCACGAGCTTCAAGAAGGTTTTGCGAATTCTTCTAGACTTTCAGGGAACCAGCGTAAACAGAAAACTATTTTGAAAAGAGAAGGAGAGAAGAGATCTGTTGATTTTTCACTGTATGAAACTATTCGGGTTTTGGTCCTTTTATAGGGTTAAACAGCCGTTACATAAACTCGTAGTTAATACGTTTTAATCACGTTAATAAAGCTTAGTCGTTATAAAATTAAAAAACACTTCCGTTACATAATAAATTCACAAAATATTTATCACGTTTTTAATCACACTAATAAATTTTTACCGTTACGAAATATTTATCACATGTTAATTGTTCAAAAATAAAAATTATATTTTAATTATTCAAAAATAAAAATGTAGCAGATTAAGAGCCCCTCAGTCCGGAGCTGCATTCGTGTGCGCGCGCGCCACCCGACCCGAGCACGGGCCCAGCCCGGCCGGCGCGCGCGTGTGTGGTGTGGAGCATAACCTTTGTTTTCTTCTAGGCATAGGAGAGAAATGGAAGGCTTATAAAGAGCCTATCTTCCCATCTCTTTTCCAATATGGGACTAAAGTTTTCCTCCTTTCCTCTACAAACCCAAGTTTTAAGTTATCTTTATTATATAACTCAAACAGTTTTTTTATTTTATATTAAATAACCCCTAGCCCTGAGAGAGGTTTACTGATATTTTAAAAGTTAATGAGAGGTTATATAAAAATCATCCAAAGTTATGGGGGCTTTTCTGATATCATCAAGCCTTATATGTACATAGAGTAGTATGCTTCATAATTTTACTCCATCTAAAATCAGAAAATTTACAAGTTTCCTCTTTTCAAACTTAGTATTACTTAAAATTATATGTAAAATTCTATGTAAAAGCTTCTCTCAGGAACTCCTGGTTTTTTAAATAACTCTAACTTTTGACTTCGCTAAAAATTTGAATTATCTGTTCTTAGGTAAAAATTCAGCGAGAAGCCTTATTCAAAAGTATGTAAATATTTACCATAAAGAAGGGAGATCTTGAAGCTTTTCAGAGCACTCTTGTAATATGATGTACCAAAACCTCAAAACAACAAGAAAGAGGAGAGTAGTAGTCATCATTATGACAAAATTTTAGAGAGGATGAGTGGGGAGTTTGGAGGAATTTATAACTTTTTTAGGAAGTTAATAAAGTTTTAGGGGAAATAAGGAATGTTGCCGGTACATAAAAATATAATATTAAATTGATGGGCCCCATCATGACTCATGAGGGTATTATAGCGATTTAATATAATATAGACGCAAAATTATGATTTGGTGACACTTTGTTACGAATGCATATTTCTGTTGTGCACGGCGCGGAAGCCAAACAAACAACCAACTATGATGCTTTGAGAAACCAAACCAACAAACGCCGAGAGAAAGACCAAACAAAACACAAACACCAAAGTTTTACGTGGTTCGGCAATTGCCTACGTCCACGGGGCAAGAAGGGGGGTGGGTTTTCACTAATAGAGAAGGAGAGTACAAATTGAGATTACAAATCGCTCAAACGAACCAACTAATCTCACCAACAAATCTCTCAAACTCTCAACCAATAACCCTAACAAATAGCTCAGAAAGATCTCTCTTTTCTGTGCTCCAAAATCCCCAGATTTGCTCCTACAAAACCCTCAAATCGTATTGGTATTTATACCAAAACAGAAACTCAAACAGACTGCAAATAGGAACTCTAACTTTCCAAAAAATCCGTCATAAGTCGACTTAACAGTCTGCATAAGTCGACTTGGCAGAGCGAAAAACAACAACTGGAGAACAGATCGTAAGTCGACTTATCAGACCTGATAAGTCGACTTGGCAGAGCAAAAAACCAACAATCCAGAGCAGAACGTAAGTCGACTTAACAGTCTGTATAAGTCGACTTACCATAAGTCGACTTATGCCTGTGCATGAGTCGACTTATGACACAGAATCTGCAAAAACCTGAATTTTCCAAATTTCTCCACAATTCTCCACATCGGCGAAGTTTTCCCAAAACTAAGCCGACACCAACCAAACAAATGCCTCACATAATGAGACCCAAACGGGAGTGCGAACACTCACCCCAAATGTCGATGTCGCTCACCAAATCGGCTGCATCAAAACTGACTGCCTACGTATCCTCTTGCCCAAGGAATCAAGCCTTCACGTAGTTCATCCAACGGCCTCCAAAGGCCCTCAAACAAATAGAAAAGTCTGCAACTCTTCCCCAGTATCGCCGACGGATCTGCAACTGATAGCGGCCCCAAACTGATACAAATCAAATACCTCCATCTGAGGTAAACCAATGGCCGTATCCAAATCATGTCCACCAGCTACCACCGAATCCAAAACCAATCCATCATCTGCATCCGAAATCAAATGATCCCCAACCTGTGTCACCTCAGCTGGAGTCCCGAATGATGCAGTATGATCTGAAGTACGTGGAGTAATCTCCACCCAACGTGGAGTAGCATCACTCTCCACCTGCTGCGATATCCAAATGACCTGATCAACACTCTCCACCTGCCGAGAGTCAAAAGTGACATACCTGCTCAGAACAAAATCAGAAGCTCCCAAACGATAATCAACTGAGCCTCCGAACCCCAAACGCGCAATCGGATCCAATCTCACATCCACGATGTGACCAAATGCTGGGTATCCAAATATCCGACGCGACCCAAAATCTGAAGCAGCTCCACCAGATCTAATAACTCCTAAAGCAGCAGTCGGCGACCTATGCATAAGATGACCCAAATATGTCGAAGCCCGCACACCAATGCCAATGCTCGACATCAAACGCCGATCCTCCTCCAGAAAGGAACGACCCATAGAAACTGTCATCTCATCTCGTCGCCCCAAAGTCTCCACACCAATGAAGTGTCTCCTACTGCCGTGAGCTCGGCACAAACGCAAGAAAGGACTCCTACCAAATCTAGAACAACGAGTTACCTTTCTGCCAATACACTTCTTCCAATTGTTGTTGACTCCTAGGACTTTACACCAACGGGAACTGGTCACAACCCAATAATGCCTAGAACAATCACCAACTGTGGAAACCAAGATACGATTACCTCCCAATGATGCCTCCTTGGAAGGCCCCCAAATGCCTGACTGAACACCTCCAAAAAGACCCCTCGCTCGATGGATAGAAGTGCCAAACTCCACCACGGTCTCGCTCATCCCAATGTGCTCACAGGACTTCAATCTGCAGGTCATAGCACTCCTCAACAACCAATGCACGGCATTACCAATCATATACCCCAGCTCCAAACAACGCCACAGTCTAGCCGAATCTGATGAAGTCGTCATCTCCCTATCAATCACCGTGCTTCCAAGCAAATAATACAAATTGCTTCTTCTGACGCCCTTCATCACAATCATGGACCAAAATGTAACCTTCAAGCGTGCATCCGCCAAGGTCACCCTATAGCCTGCTGCCTCCAAAGC